GGGCGAGGGTTGGGTAGCCCCGCCGCGGGGGTCCGGGGGTGAAACCCCTACCCCGGCTTGGGCCCCGGGGATCCCCGTGTGACAACGCTGGCGGCCACCTTCCTAGGCGGCTGTGAGTCTGTCCCCTTCATTGGAAGACACAGCCTCGCTAGTTTGGTCGTTTGGCGTTGCCGCCACAACCACGACCACTTTCGGTCGATGCTGATCTCTGCTCAAGCCTGGCGCAAACGAACGCTAGAGATTCTTGGCTTCCTTGTTCGTGATAATAATCTGTGCGGCCTTGTCGAAAAGTTCTGCCGGTGTCGTCAGGGTGTCCTCGACGTGAGTCAAGGCATTGCCCAACGCCGGACACGACCTCAAGATGAAGTAGTGTTTGATGGCTTTGAAGCCCATTTGGATGTCTGGAACGGATGTCATGCGTTGGTACTCGGCAATCCAATCAACACTCGTCAGCGTGCCTTGTTCGAAGACCATCAGCTTGCCATTGCCTTGATCTCCGACGGCTCTACCTGGAACCGCTTATGCCACGCCACCTTTAGATCCCCCCAGCTGATCTTGGTATGCAAGTCAGCAGCCACCACTCCATACTTGGACAGGAGATTGTCCAGCCATGCTTGGCACGCGCCCACTGAGCGGGAGTATAAGTATGCGTGATGCTTGTGCTCACTGACGTAGTGTCGCTGCAATGTGAGCTCGAACTTGCGGAACCATGAAATCGGGTCCGTCTTCGTCGAGTCGCAGAAGATCTCCTGCCCATCGAACTTTGGAGTTGTCTCGCGCGGTTTCGAGCTTGAGTGGTTGGCGGCAATACAGATCCGCTGCTCCAACTGTTGCGTTGCGGTTTGCTGTAACAGCACACCGTCCTTGAGGGATCCGACGTCAATCTCCAATGCCTCGAGGCGATCGGAGGTGTTGGAAGAGCTGGCAACGGGGGCGGCGACGGTTTGTTCCAGCTGCTGGAGGCGGCTGGTGAGTTGATCAAACACTTGATTGTGTGTCTGAACTGCGTCATCGAGGTTGTGAATGTCCACCTGTTGTGCAATGCATGTGGCCAGGAGGTCCGTGAGATGGGAGAGGAGTAGAGCGATCTTGTTTCCACTCTCTTCCAGCTTCCCATTCTCAGCCTCGGCCCTCCAGTCCGCTGCCATTGTGAACAAAGCTCGCTCTCCGCTGAATATTTTCTCCCGTCGTTGAAGTCGTTCTTCATCGGCAGCCTTTGCTGCTGCCTCGTCTTGCTGGCGCTGCTGTTCAATTGCCAATAGACGTGCTTTCTCGGCGTCCTCTGCCTTCTTCTTTGTTGCAGCTGCTACTGCATCCAACCGTTGCTTGGCTTTGGTAATCAGAAGCAGCATCCGGGCCTGATAGGCCTCGTCCGTTTCTCCGGACATCTGTTCCATGACGGCTGTTTTCGAGCGCGTAAGCATAGACCAGGCTGGGGCCTGCTGACGTGGCACTCCCTGCTGCTGACGTGGCTGCTGACGTGTCCTGCTTATGTGGCCTCCTGGCGTGGTCTGCTGACATGGCCTGCTGACGTGGCAACTCACCAATGTCGCCGCAGAGGGTACCCGGAGACAGATAGAGAAGGTAAGACCAGAGGGGGCAACACCATAGGTGGGGAGGGGTGGGGGGGAATAAATCGCCCAGATAAGGTGCCACTAATCAAAAAAGAAAAGTTTGAACTTTGCAAAAAACTTTTTCGAGAAAATAAAACATCCCGAGTTTTGCAAGTTCTGTAGGTCTCCCAACCTCCCTGGAAGTGCGAAATTATCAATGAGAAAAAAAATTCGAACTTTCAGACTGCCAATGATTATCAGGTAGTGAAATTCATAGAACTGCAAATAAAAAAATTCCGAAAAGAAATAACCAGTATTCGGACTTACTCAGATGAGAGTATTCGCAGTTTGGAATATGGTACTGCAAGAGGGATTTCCCGTACCGTTTTCAGAAAAACGAATTTTGGAAAAAAAAAATTTCCGAATTTCCAAATATAGATGGAGCCTCTCGGTGCTAGTGGTTTCTGCTCTTATCAGCATCACTAACACTGGTGGGGGTGGTCTTGTAAAAAAAAAAAAAAAAAGGGAAATTGCAAAAGGAGATCGAAATTTTCGAGAAAAAGATATTCCAGATTTCCAAGAACGAAATTTCGAATTTTCAGAAGACAAACGAAAATTTCAGGTGTTGCGCTACTGCGATTTTCCACAACAGATGTAGCGGGAAAACAAAATCCAAGAAAAGAAAAAAAAAAATCGATTTTCGGCAGTGAGGTCAAAATCGTGATTTTGGGGGCTAACTAGTGTGCTCTAATCAATCAATCAAGACTAATCAGCTACCTTGTCCCCACACACGTGTCAGATCAGGTTGTCCTGATTCACGTGCGGTGTTCCAATACCAACTGATGTACATATAAACCAAGGATCCGCAATGTGATGAAAAGGACTGAATGGACAATGCAGTGCAAGTGAAATCTCAACAAGCAGTGTTCATCCTGATACGTACAAAATGGTGCTTTACAGCGCAGTGGAAGACTTAGATACAAGTCCTGACCTGACCAGGACTGACCTCTTTCGCGTAGTACAAGATAGCGCAGCAGAATACTAGAATAATAATGACTAACCCAATCAATGTTACAACGCAGACCAAACATACATCATTCTCACCACCACACGGTGTGAAGGGAGCCTGGCGCTATACACAGGAAGAGGCGCCAGTTCCAGTTCATGCACAGACGAAGAGGAGGGGATCAGACGGAGAA